GAACAAAGTTAGTATTTATGATGTAAGTTTAATAGGACCCTGCTGTGTTGGGAATAGGGGGCAGGGACAGCAAGAGGCCAGTGAAGGGTGAGGTGACAGTGACTCAGGTCAAGGGTGGAGTCAGTTGCAGGGGCAGGAGTTAGATTCTGGACATGGGAAGAGGTAAAGCCCTCCAGTGGGTTGGTATGAGAGGAGGTGAAGATACTGCCCAGGTTTCTGCTTGAGCCCATTTAGGACATGCTGGGTTTGAGCTGCCTTCTAGACATGCCAGGTGTTGAGGCCGCTGGATATGTGAGTCTGAGTGGAAATGAGGCACACAGACAGCCCTGGAGTTCTTCGAGGGAAGCGCTCAGGGAGATGCACAGAAACCACAAAGTGGCCAGTGAGGTGGGGGGAGAACCAGCAGTATGTGGTGTCTTAGAAGCAAAAGAAGAAAGTGTTTAAGTGTTTCTAGGAGTGGGAAGCGATCGGTGGTGTTAGATGCTCCTTTTAGGACAAGTAAGATGGGGACCAAGAATCGAGTATTGGATTTAGCAACGTAGAGGTCATTGTGGCCCTTGATGAGATCAGAAGAGGGCAGTGTGGCCCAGAGACCTGGCTTGACCAGAGGCTTGGGGCAGAGGTTCAGCCTGACTGCCTGCCTGCTCCCAGCCCCTTCCCTATCCAGACAGGGCCCCCGCCCAGCAGCCTTTCCCCTCCCTACCTGCTCATGGCGTCCTGCTCTCCCTTTCCTCCCCATACCCCCAGACCTGTGCTTGCCCTGGGCCAGTCAGGGCTTTCCTGTCAACTGGGCCCCTTCCGGGCCCTGGGAGGCCGCCACTGGAGCCCTGCCTCTTCCTGGCAGGGAGTATCGAGTACAGCTGTCCGGCCTCCAACGAGTGTGAGATCACCAAGCGGAGACGCAAGGCCTGCCAGGCCTGCCGCTTCACCAAGTGCCTGCGGGTGGGCATGCTCAAGGAGGGTGAGCGCTGGGCAGGGGCCTGGGCGAGGGCTGGGGGAGCTGGGTGCATGGGGCCGGGTGGGGGCAAGGCCTGGGAAGTCCTGGTGAAGGAACTGGGGAGAATGGCTCAGCCCACTCCCAGCACCACGGACACAATCCTGTCCTACAATTCAAGGGGTGCGCCTGGACCGTGTCCGGGGTGGGCGGCAGAAGTACAAGCGGCGGCCAGAGGTGGACCCGCTGCCCTTCCCAAGCCCCTTCCCTGCCGGCCCCCTGGCAGTGGCTGGAGGCCCCCGGAAGACAGGTGAGCATGGGGGTTCCTACAGCTCTAGGGCTGGGTTGGGGCTAGGACATGGGAGGCCTGTCTGTGGCATTGTTCGCCCAGCACAGTAGTCATCTTGAGCACTGGGACCCAGATTTCCTCTTTATCTTATTCATTTCCCCAAGAAATGTGAAAGTGCCTTTTTTTGCATCAGACAACCAGTAGTACAACTGGGAACAGAGAAAGGTTTTCCAACACTCAGAGCCTGTCCACAAATAGACTGGCTTTCCCTGGGAGATAGTGAACGCTCTTCCCTGCAGAGAGGTGCCTGCCTGGCAGGCCAGTGGCTATTGAGGAAAGCCACAGGGGACTGACTGTGGGAAGATGCATGGCCCCTGAGGCCTTATGGATTGGAGTGCTCCTGACTCTAGTCCTCCAACTGTCGCTGCAGCCCCGGTGAATGCACTGGTGTCTCACCTGCTAGTGGTTGAACCTGAAAAGCTATATGCCATGCCTGACCCGGCGGGCCCTGATGGACACCTCCCAGCTGTGGCTACCCTCTGTGACCTCTTTGACCGAGAGATCGTGGTCACTATCAGCTGGGCCAAGAGCATCCCAGGTAAAGGGCCCAGGTGACTTCGGGCTTCCCTGAGTGGGCCAGGCCGTGCCTGGCTCTGGTGCACTTGCTCAGCCAGGCCTGCTCCCCACTGCCCTCTAGGCTTCTCATCACTGTCGCTGTCTGACCAGATGTCAGTACTGCAGAGCGTATGGATGGAGGTACTGGTGCTGGGTGTGGCCCAGCGTTCACTACCACTGCAGGATGAGCTGGCTTTTGCTGAGGACCTGGTCCTGGATGAAGAGGGGGCACGGGCAGCTGGCTTGGGGGAACTGGGGGCTGCCCTGCTGCAGCTGGTGCGGCGACTGCAGGCCCTACGGCTGGAACGAGAGGAGTACGTCCTGCTGAAGGCCCTGGCCCTTGCCAATTCGGGTGAGAGTCCAGGGCAGGCACTGTAAGGTCTCTCCATGAGGCCTTCTAGTTTTTAACTCTGATGGTGGCACAGGGGAAGAACAATGACTTGCTGAAAGTCAAAAAGCAAGCCAAGGGCAGGCCCTGAACTGCACAGCATTTTGAGCCCTAGTGCCATGCTAACATGGAAAGGTAAACAGTGTAGGGGGAGGGAGAGTAGGGAGGGTAACAGGAGGCACAGTTGAGGGAGAAAGGGTGGGCCCTGGCTCATGGGCAGAGCAGTGGGTGGTGCCTTGTAGCTTATCGGCAGATCTGTGTCTGGCATCCCCTTAGGCCCCATCCAGCAGTGTCCAAGCAAGGTGTGGGTTCTGCCCTTTCCAGAGACGGCCCAGGTCAATAGTTCCCTTCCCTCTCCTTGCAGACTCTGTGCACATCGAAGATGCTGAAGCTGTGGAGCAGCTGCGAGAAGCCCTGCACGAGGCCCTGCTGGAGTATGAAGCCGGCCGGGCCGGCCCTGGAGGGGGTGCTGAGCGGCGACGGGCAGGAAGGCTGCTGCTCACACTACCCCTCCTCCGCCAGACAGCAGGCAAAGTGTTGGCCCATTTCTATGGGGTGAAGCTGGAGGGCAAGGTGCCCATGCACAAGCTATTCTTGGAGATGCTTGAGGCCATGATGGACTGAGGAAGGGGTGGGACTGGTGGGGGTGCTATAGGACCTGCCAAGCATGCAGTAAGCCCCAAAGGGGCAGAGCTGGGGTCTGGGCAGTGCCACAGCCTGCTGGCAGGGCCAGGGCAATGCCATCAGTTCCTGGGAGCAGGCCCCATGCCCTCCCCTCCTAAGGGGTGTCAGAAGCTGGGAGGGTATATGCCCAGGCTCTGGGCACAGTGTTGCCCCTTGCAAGCCATAATGTTCCCCCAGAGTGTAGGGGGCCTTGCGGAAGCCATAGGGGGCTGCAGGGGATGTGTGGGAGGCAGAAGCCTGAACTCAGGGAGGGAAGGGGATGGAGGCCAGAGTCTCCCAGTGGGTGATGCTTTTGCTGCTGCTTAATCCTACCCCCTCTCCAGAGCAGAGGGGGACTTGGAGAGCAAAGGCCCCTGCCCCTTCGCTCCTGTCCTCATCATTTGCATTGGGCATTAGTGCCCCCCCCTTGAAGCAATAACTCCAAGCAGGCTCCAGCCCCTGGACCCCTAGGGTGGCCAGAGCCCCCCATCAGCTCCCACCCAGCCGCCTCAGGGGCTAGGGAGAGCACTGCCTCTATGCCCTGCACAGCAATAACACTATATTTATTTTTGGGGTTGGCCAGGGAGGCGCAGGGACATGGGGCAAGCCAGGGCCCAGAGCCCTTGGCTGTACAGAGACTCTATTTTAATGTATATTTGCTGCAAAGAGAAACCGCTTTTGGTTTTGAACCTTTAATGAGAAAAAAATATATACTATCAAGCTCAAGAATACTGTGTGTTCAGTTTGTCACAGGGACAAGGACTGGTGATATACATGGCAGAACTAGTAAACAAGACATACATCAACAAAGGTACACACAGTCACGAAATGGAAAACTGATGCCTGGCATGATCAACTCTCAGTTTCCTCATCACTCAGCAGCATGTTGGGGATTCCACGGCTGATGGGAAACAGACGTCCAGACTCCGGGCACTGCAGGGTGCCCTCCAACACATCCACCTGCGGGCGGGAAGGGACAGAGCTGAGCACTGGCAGCCTCAGCGTGGGAGGCAGGTGGCCGGGTAAGGAAGCAACGGGCCGGTTCTCACCTCCAGCAGGATGTGGTGCATCTTCCTCAGAAAGTCCTCATCATGCTCATATCCCTGAATCGGTTCTTTGGGCACCTCGATCAGGTGCAACTGTGGGTAGGTAGGCAAGAGATCTAAATCATCTCTGGGCATCCCTGACCCTCTGCCTCAGGCCGGACTCTGGGGCGCGGTACTAGAGGCTGCGGTGAGCCCGCTCCCCTTCCCAGGGCATGCACGGGCCGGGGGAGGGTCCTTACGGTATCGGCCGCCTCCAGGAGCGCCGCCCACTCCACCTTGGGTATCATACGCGCCACGAATTGGGGGTTGAACTCCACGGGGTTGATGCGGACCTCGGTGGCCTGCGGGCGGGAGGGTGTAGTTAGCGGGGACCAGACCCCAGTTCCCCTACCCCACCCGGGAGAGGAGAGAAACCGCCCCTGGCCGTTACCTCGAGGCGCAGGGGGAAGCCACGGGGCCCCACCCCCCGCACATGCGAGCTCAGTAAGTTGTGCGTGAGCAGTTTCATGTCGCCCAACGCGCTTTCGCCAGGCCGGAAGCGGAAAGAGACCGCCTCTCTGTCACGTCACTTCCGGGGCTGCTCCACTCGCTACAGTACTGGATGGCTGGGGAACCGGAAATGGCGAACTTGCTGGATCTACTTGTGCTTGCGGGAGCCGAGGGAAGCAGGGGAAAGACCTGTGGGGGTCACGCGCTGCTACCGCAAGCGTCTCGGAGGGGGGCTGCTCCGGCGCACGCCCACTGGCTGCGGCTCACACCCCGCTCGCCGCAAGTCGTGCGTAAAGTGCGAGTGAGATGTAAGGCAGCTGCAACGCGGGGCCTCACGGGACGCAAAGTAAACGCGTCTTGCTCCTCACCGGCCCCTACGCCACCGTCTTCCTCCGCTCCTTTCAGTTAAGGAGCACCGCAAAGCCGCGGCACCTCCTTCCCGAATGCAAATTAGCTCGACGCCGCCGAGGCTCCGCCCCCAATGCAAATGAACCCGGGAGCCCGGAAGGTCCGTGGGCGCGCGGCAGCCAGTGCCCTCGTGGTGGCGGCGCCTGGCCGGGCGCAGGCCCCGCCTTTCGCTCGACGCCGCGGTTGCGCCTGGAGCTAAGCCCCGCCTCCTGCGACGGTCCGGGCCTGGGGGCGGGATGGTTGCGGCCGCGGGGAGGGTGGCGGGCCTGCGGATCCTGAGAAGCCGAGCTGGCTACTTATTCGCTGGTGCGGCCGCCGAGTCTGTGGCAGCGACAGCAGCACCGGCGGCAGCGAGACGACAGCTGGAAGGAGCAGAAGGGTGGGCGCCTCGCGGGTCCCACAGTTTCAGCAGCGCCGCCGCAGCCATGGCCCCAATCAAGGTGACCGCTACCTTCGCTCCTGCCCTGCCCCGACCTCCCCCACTCCGTCAGTCTTTTCAAGGCCGCCCCCTCTCCCGCTTGTCTTGGGGGTGTCGCCTTTTTTCCTGGCTTCTGGATGCCTCCCCCCCGCCCTTAGAGACCCTTGTTCCACTCATCCCCTCGGCAAGACCCCTTGGCTGCCCCACCATTTTCGCCAGTTGTAGGGGCCTCGGGCTCTCCCCTTGAGTCCTTTCACATTGGCCCTGCGACACTCTATGGCAGGTCTCCACCATTTTCAGGCCATTGAATGCCATGGTCTTGCTCACCTTCTGGAACTATCTCCTTTGCTCCAGGGCCCCTTTCAACACCCTCTCCCCGCTTTTGTGATAGTTCTGGGGCATCACTTCACCCCAACTTATGAAAGGGTTGTTGTCCCTTAGAGCCCCAATGGTGTCTTCCCTCCGTTCTACTCCACGACCTTTTCCCCTCCTATCATGGCTAATTCCCACCCTTCTGGAACCATCCCCAGCTCCTTGGACCTTGCCCCCTTCCCCTCTCAATCCCTTCTTAGACCCCTTTACCTTCTACTTTGTTCTGCTCCTCAGACACTCTCCCCCACCTGTGACTCTCTCCCGCCTGTCTACTCTCCGGGCCCCCTCCCACACTCCCAGGTGGACGAGTCCCTCCCCTTTCAGGAGATTCCTTCTTTATTCTACATCTCCTGGGTGTAGGGGTCTGGACACCCTCCCCTAACTTTCCCATCTGTTGCGGCCATCCCTCTTCCTCTTAGTGGGGGTGGAAAACTCAGGCCTGGCTAGGATCCTCTCCCTCCTTGTTGTCACGGCCTCCTCTGTCCCCTGCCTCTGGCCACTTATCCAACTCCTTTCCCTTAACCTAGACAGGTTATTATGCAACCTGTTGCGACACTTAGGGAGGCTTTCTGTCCCTTTCTCTGTTGTCACCAGTGGGCCCTTAAGAGGAGCAAGGTCCACCATGAAACCTGGAGGATGTGGGGTAACCACATGGGGTGGAGAGGGACAGGGAGGGACCCTTGGAAACTCTGACAGGTCTGGAATTGCCTGCTGGGTTTCAACCCTGTTTCCAGCAGGCGCAGCTGCCAGCCTCTCTGTCCCCCAGCTCTGGCTTGCCATCCCTACCTTACCCCGCTTATCTTGGAGTCCTTCCCTCTAGGTGGGAGATGCCATCCCTTCGGTCGAGGTGTTTGAAGGGGAGCCGGGAAACAAGGTGAACCTGGCAGAGCTGTTCAAGGGCAAGAAGGGTGTGCTGTTCGGAGTTCCTGGGGCCTTCACCCCTGGCTGTTCCAAGGTGAGGCCCTGCCCTTCTGAGGATCAGGAATTGGGAGCTTTTGTATTGTTCTTGAGTCCTCCACATAATTCTCATTTGACAGTTAGAAGAGCATTTCAGTGCGATCATAAAATAAGCAGAGGCTCTGGAAAGGTAATAGTAGTACTAAGAATGTTGGAGGAAAGGGTATTGCAGTTAAACCCAACACCCCTTACTGATCTTGCTGAGTGACAGGCACTGTAGAAGGTACTTGGGACTCAGATAAATAAGACATAGTCCTGCACGTAAGTTCATGCTCTTGACTATAGGACAGTAACTTTGGATCTGAGCTTCCTAGTGGTCAAGGCAAAAATGAAATAGAATGGTTTACACAGTTCTCATTGTCTGATCAAAGGCATTGAGGCAGGGCAGTGAGGAGGGCCTGGAGCTGGAGGGTGGGCTGAGGAGCAAATGTAGTTATCCCTTTCTGACCCTTTGTTTCCCTTTGTTTCCTCAGACCCACCTACCGGGGTTTGTGGAGCAGGCTGAGGCTCTGAAGGCCAAGGGGGTCCAGGTGGTGGCATGTCTGAGTGTTAACGATGTCTTTGTGACTAGTGAGTGGGGACGAGCCCACAAGACGGAAGGCAAGGTGATCTGTGGTGCCCGCACGGGGTCGGGGGCTGGCAGGAGATTGTTCTTCTGACCTTCACTTTCTCTGTCAGGTTCGGCTCTTGGCTGACCCTACTGGGGCCTTTGGGAAGGTGAGTGTGCTCCCAGCCTCCACCCTACAGAACAGTTCCTGTGCTCGACCTTGGAAGCAGGGACTTGGAGGGACGTGGCAGTGTGGGGGTGGAGTGGGGCCTTGGCCTGTTCTGGAGGTTCCTGATGTTTTTCTCTGTGTTTCCTCGTAGGAGACAGATTTACTACTAGATGACTCCTTGGTGCCCCTCTTTGGGAATCGACGGCTTAAGAGGTAAAAGTGGTGGGTCCTCCGTGGGGTTCTCCTGGGACTCTGGCTCCTGCCTCCCTTCCTGTCTCCATCCCAGCCCCCAGGCCCAGGCTGCTGCAGCTGGCCAGCCTCTTTTCGGCAGGTTCTCCATGTTGGTAGAAGATGGTGTAGTGAAGACCCTCAATGTGGAACCGGACGGCACAGGCCTCACCTGCAGCTTGGCACCCAATGTCATGTCGCAGCTCTGAGGCCCCGGTCCCAGGCTTGCTCCCTCTGCCCAATCCCATCTCACCTGCCAGCCCTAGGCAGAGGGGCCCAGCCTAGCCTCGGCTGGGGCCACCCAGTTGGAACCTTGGCCAGATTCTGCAATAAAACGTTTTCTGGTTCGTGTTTGTCTCCTTGATTTGAACTGTTGCCTCGTGAGCACCGGGGCTCTTGACATAGTCACAGATTGAGCCGAGCTGGGAGGATGGCAGGGAGGGGCCGAAAGGGAGAACGTGGGGGATCCTGACTTAATTAAGGAGGTGTCACTAAGCATCAGTCTGGGAACTGAGAAGGAGGCAGTGGTCTGAGGGCAAGGGAAGGGGAGTTCACGCAGAGCAAGCACGTAGTTCCAGGCCCAGGCAGGCACGAGCTTGGCATACACTGTGGCCCTTGGTACTTGGTCTCTTGGTGCTGACTGATCTCATTTAGGCTGGAAACCCCAGGGTAGGAACCTTGGCTCTAGGTAGCCCCTGTTGGGGCAGGCCCAGCCCCACCTTCCTTTCAGATTTGAACCCCTTCTGGGAGCACCCTGGCACCTTGGGACCATCTGACTGGCAGAAAGGGCTCCATCAGTAGAGGCAGCACTTGCTCAGTCTAGGAGGGCTCCCTGGAGGAGGAGTCTGTACGTGAGCTGAGGAGGTGAGAAGACAGTGAGGCCTGACCAGTGGTGGGTGGAGGTGAGGGGCCAGGAGCCAGGGACGCCCCAGGTTTTGGGGCCAGGGGGCTTGCCATTTGCAGGCCCTGGGAAGCCGTGTGTGTGGCAGTGATTGTTAGACCCCTCTGTGTTTAGGGGCTCACAGGGGCAGACACTTGCAGAGCACTTACCGTGTGCCAGGCACAGTGCTGTGTGGTGACAGCCCTCGCAGCAGTCCAGGGGGTGTGGGCTGTTACTGCTCCTCAGCCACTGCGTGGGGGTCCGGGCGATGTGCTTTCGTCACCGTGCGGAGCTGCCCTGCCGTGTACGTCGTCAGCACCAGGCTCTGAGGGCCCTTTCTGCCTGGTGGTCTCCAGGGGTTCGGCCCCGCACTCACGGAGGTGGGGGAGGAAGCCAAATTCATATGCCTTTTCTCTAATTAATGTGGCTTTTGTGAGTTGATTTTTCAGCAAACTTTCAGAGGGCAAAGGGGAAATTTTCCCTTGGTCCCAACAAAGGATTTCCGTGACAGGTCAGATTCGCACCAGGGCTGCTGTGTGTGGCTGGCAGACACAGAGAGGCACCAGGTGGGCAGCGAAGGGAGGGATCTGTGATCACAGGGTGCCCGGGTGGGGGTGGTATGTGTTGGGAAGGAGGGTGAGTCCAGGGAGCCCCCCAAGTGTAAGGAGCTGGGTGGTGATGGTGTGTCCATGTGCCCAGCGGTGGGGGGCAGCCTCCCTGCTGGGGTTCCAGGTGCTCAGCCTGCCTGAGTTGATCTGCCTGCCAACCTTTGTCCCTCTGTTTTTCCCCCACAACCTGCCACCCTACAGGGGTCTGGGCAGGGACAGGGCAGGGGGCTGACTGCACCTCTGGCTTCCCTGGTAACCTGCCCACCTCTTCTCCCCCTGCCAAACTTTGGGTCGCAGTGTTGTCCTCTCCCATGCGCTTGGTGTAAAGGCTTTTCTTGCCTGGATACCATCGCTTTTAATCCTGTCCTTGTAAAGATGAGGAAACAGGTATGGAGCTTCCCACAAGGGCACCTATGAGCTTTATGTCTGCATCAGTAAACGGGGTGGTGTAGAACAGCCCCCCCGGGGGCTGTGCACCCTGTTCCTCGTCCCTGCAACCTCACGCTGCCCTGGCAGTTCCCCCTGCTGGGAAGCCCAGCCTCTGTCTCTGTCACTCAGCCACCTCTGTTTCCTCCACTCCCGGGCTCTTACCTGGGCTGGCTGAGGCCCAGGGATGCCTCTGAGAGGAAGCATCCCCTCCAGGGTCCCTTGCCATTGTCTGGGCCTCTAGGCCAGGATGAGGGGCTTCCAGGGCCTAGGTGGCCCTTAGGACAGCTCCGTAGGGGTCAGGGTGTGGGTGGAGGGGGGCTGGGCCTTGGTGGCTACCGAGCACATGGCTCAGCTTGCTGGGGCAGGGCGTGTCCTGTGGGGGGCAGGGCCGGCCCTGGGAATGGTTCCAGGCCCTGGAGGGTCCTAGGTGAAACAACCAAACTGCCGCCCCTGGCAGAGCTGCAGGTGTGGCCTTCCCTGGCTGTTGATGGCCAAGGGCCAGTGTTAAAAACTAAACAAATGAACAAAATAACCTGAAACATACACCCAGGTAAAACTCAGGCTCCTGTCCTGACCTGTCCAAGGCCGCAGCAACTCAGACCCAGAGGGCCAAGGCTTTTACTCAGTACCAGCGCTTCTGGGCCTTCCTGGGTCTGGGGTCCCTTTGAAAGACTGCTAAACAGACCCCCAAGTGCTTCATAAAGGTTTCGAGGAACCCTTGGAGACCTTTCAAGAACTCCAAATGACCCCTGCCCCCACCCGGGAGGCTGTAGCATTATGGGTTCACTGGGCTTCGGGCTGAGACCACCAGCGTGTGAATCCCGACCTGCTCCGGAGAAGCTGGGTGACCGTGGGCAGCCTGGTCTTCCCTGACACTACTTCCCTTATCTTTAAAGTGGGAACAGGCCGGGTGCGGCGGCTCCTGCCTGTGATCCCAGCACTTTGGGAGGTGGAGGTGGGGGGGATCGCTTGAGGCCAGGAGTTTGAGTTAATAGTGAGCTATGATTGTGCCACTGCACTCCAGCCTAGGTGACAGAGTGAGACCCTGTCTCTAAAAAACAAAGTGGGAAGAATCCAACCTCATAGGGTCATGGGGAACAAATGAGATAATTTATGTAAAGAATTTGGCACGGTGCCTAACACACTCAATACATAAGTGCTTAATAAGTGGTTATTAAAAAACCCTAAGAAGAATCCCTGGTCTCTGTCATACAGCCTGTATGTCCACAGAGAAAGAGCTGGGTGTTAAGACAGAGGTCAAATCCCAGTCTTGACATTAATGACCCCTGTGACTGACTATGCCTCTCTGAGCCTCAGTTTTCTCATCAAAAGAATGGGGATGATGACCCTGCTAATTATCTGTTGTCTACAGGCCTCCAGGGTTCTCCATAGTTATTTGGTGCCTAAAGCCTCACAGATTAAGAAGCTGGGAAGACATCTCCGGGAGGAACCTTTGCCAGGCCCTGGGGAGTCAAACCTGGGCTGCTGAGAGAAAGAGAGGGCTGGAAGCGTCCTGGCATTCCTGCCAGGCTTGGGCTGCAGCCATTGAGGCGCTGTAATCAGGAGCCTGGAGGCTGCTGGCCCCAAAGTGACACGCTCTGCTGAGCATGGCTGGGGTTTGACCACACAGGCATTGAAGAGTGACAGCGGAGAGAGAAAATGGGTGCATGTGTGTAACTTCTGGAGAAGTGTGGGTAACATCTGTGAGAATGCACAGATTCACGAACACGAGTATCGGTGTGCCGTGTTTACATTTCCACCAACTCCCAGCTTGAGCTGAGAATCACGTCTTTTTACCCAACGAAGGTAAGGTGCCTGCTCAGGGTGGAGAACACAGGAAATATTCAACATGTGTTTTGGGAAGGGGTAAAGATGCGAAGGGAGGGAGGGAAGAAGCTTCCCTTTCCCCAGCTTTCTGGACGCTGGCTCCAGTTGTTTGAGCATAAACTTGACCATAGGGGGCCTAAATTAGACCTAGATTTGCTTCGGAGTGACAAGTCCCTAAATACTAGTGACTTAAAACAGAGGCTTATGTGATCTAATGCTAACAGACTATATAAAAAAACAACCCCCCCCCAAAACCCCAGAGGCTTAGCTCACAGATATGCAGTGGAAAGCTGACAGTCTGGGGCTAGGATGGCACTGCATGATTACTGGGGACCCACGCTCCTTCTGTCTTGCTGCTCTGCCATTTCAAACATGTGTCTTTACCTTATGGTCCGATACGGCTGCTTGAGTTCCAGCCATCACATCCATAGTCCAGTCAGCAGGAAGGAGGAAATGAGGAACAGGAGATAAAACATCCATGCTAGCTGTCTTTTAAGAAGGTTTTCTGGAAGCTGCCACATACTACTTCTACTTACATCTCATTGGACAGAACTTAGTCTCATGCTCAAACCAGCTACAAGGGAGGCTGGGAAATACTGACTTTATTCTAGGCTGCCATATGTCTACCTAAAAACCCCACAGATTCTATTAGTAAGGGAGGGAGGGAGAAATGATACGGGGTGGACGAGAAGCAGCTGTGTGTGTGGGCCACACAGAAATCACCTCTGAGAAGGGATGGTGTCGCTTCCCTGCTGTCCCCATCAGCCTTGGACAGGGCATGTACTAAGCTGTCCCAGATCTCTGTACGGGCTTCTCATCACCCCAAGGATCCCTCTCCAAGCCTCTGCGCCTGTTCCCTGTAGCCTTGGTCACTACAGTCACCTGATTCCCCAGCCGTGGGTCCTCTAAGCTCCTCTCTCTTCAGCATCTCCCAGACAACAGTCACCACCTGGGGTGCCCTGTCTTTCCCACCCTTGCCCAAAAAACATTCAAGGCTGGAGTCAGTCGCATTTGCTGAGGACAACAGCCCTGTTTCAGGTTCCTTGTCCCTTCTCTGAATTAGTCCGTGCGGGATGGGCCACACCATTTCTCTTTTTTTTTTTGAGACAGAGTCTCACTCTTTTGCCCGGGCTAGAGTGAGTGCCGTGGCGTCATCCTAGCTCACAGCAACCTCAAACTCCTGGGCTCAAGCGATCCTTCTGCCTCAGCCTCCCGAGTAGCTGGGACTACAGGCACACGCCACCACGCCCAGCCAATTTTTATATTTTCAGTAGAGACAGGGGTGGGGGGTGGGTCTCACTCTTGCTCAGGCTGGTCTCAAACTCCTGAGCTCAAGTGATCCTCCCGCCTCTGCCTCCCAGAGTGCTAGGGTTACAGGCGTGAGCCACTGCACCCGGCCAAGACACATTTGTATTTTTGTTTCCTCTTGGGTTCCTTCCTTGGGGCATGTTCCCAAATGCCAGTGTGCTGGGTCCAAGGACTCTGGAGGTTTTATTGGTCTCTGGAAACTCTGAGACTATTTTGAGGGCCACCTGTGATGTGTGCTTGTGTTCTCTCCCAACATGTGCCTGCCTGAGTTTTACCTTCTGGATTTATTTTTGCTGCTTAATGGATGGGCTTTTTATTTCTTTGTTTTGCTTTTTTGAGACAGGGTCTCACTCTGTCGCCCAGGCTAGAGTGCAGTCACATCATTGTAGCTCACTGCAGCCTCAAACTCCTGGGCTCAAGTGATCCTCCAGCCTCAGCCTCCTGAGTAGCCTGGCTAATTTTTTTAGTTTTTGTAGAAATAGAGTCTTGCTATGTTGCCTGGGCTGGTCTTGGAAACCTGGCCTTAAGCAATCCTCCTGCCTAGGCCTCCCAAAGTGCTGGGATTACAAGGGTGAGCCACCACACCTGGCTTTAATGGATGTTTAATGGTGCCTTGGACTGTCTTTAATTATTATAGGAGGGCAGCTGACAACCGTGGCGCTTGGCCCGGGTCTTACCTTATTTGCTAGTTGGGGCTGGTCTCCAGCCTTGCTCTCCCACCAGACACCAGCAAGACACTGGAGCGTGTCAGGAGAGGGGATGGGTGGGGACAGTGCCACACTCAGAGCCCAAGGACTTCAGTTTTACTCTCAGCTTCCCTTCTCACCCCCATTCCCCTCTGAGCCTCATTTTTTTTAATCTCTGAAATAGAAATTAATTGGTTAAAAAACATTAATTTGGCCACCTTGTGTATCTTGGCGCTACCACCTCCTGGCTGTGTGGTCTTAAGCAAGTGACTTAACTTCTCTGTGCATCAGTTTCTTCATTGTGAAATGAAACACTTGTATTTTATGGGTGAGGAGTGGATTGGGTGGTTAATACATTCGAAGTGCTTTGACCAGAGCCTGGCGCAGGTAAGTGGGCAGCAAACACTGGCATTGTCATGGAGCTGGCACTGCAGTCATGGGTGACCCTACACTAGCTTCCACTCTAGTGGAAGCAGGTGAAGCGAATAGGTGAAGATGCGGGGCAGTTAGAGAGAGGAGCAAGGCTGTTTGGGGAAGGGCTGGGTTTGCTTTAGAAGGGAAAGGACTTTCCTCAGAATGGGGCAGCTGAGCTGAGCGAGACCAGTGGGGTGAGACAGAGCCGGTCTGGGGGAGTGTGTGTGTTTGGAGGGGTCGAGAGAGTGTCCAGGCGGCGGGAACAGCAAATGCAAAGGCACAGCGTGTGGGAGAGAGACTGAGGAACCCACGTGGCTGAAGGGGCAGAGGGCACAGAGGGAGGAAGGATAAGGTCAGGGTGGTGAGCCGGGGCCCCTCTCTTCAGGGCCTTGAGGTCATGGTGAGTGCTTGGAACTTGAGCCCTTCAGGCCAGTTAGTGGTTTTTTTTTTTTTTTT